CTGTCCTGTCCTGTCCAGTCCGGTCCTGCCTGAGGTCCGGTACCGTATTTGCTCTGCTGGTGCTGGTGCTGTTGGTGCTTCGCTGTCTGTAATTTTCCTTGTCCGGCTCCTGGTCCCCTTCTTCCCCAATCCCTCGATTCTATTTTTTGCACGACGAGCTTCTTGCGTTGTTGTCCCACGAAAAACACGCTCTATCCTCCCATCTCTGCCTCACATCCCTCCGCTCGTCCATTCCTCACCACTGCACTGGGGGGCGCAGAGGTCAAGGGCTCGCTCAGTACACGCGTATCTTTCTGTATGTGTCTCGTTTTTGCTTTTCCGGTCGCCGCCCGTTTTTTTATCAGTCAAGTCAATCAATCAATCAATCGACGACTACCACCGCTACGACGAACTGGATCTCGCCCGCCCATCCGCTCCTTATTTTAGCTGCGTCCTGACACGATCGAAAAGGGACTAGACAGTGCGTCTACTATTTGCTTGCTGTGGGCCTATCACCGCCCGTCCAAGGCAGCCCCAAATACCAGCCTCCGGATCCCTCCTCTGGCCATCCAAGTCCAACCATTTGCTTCTCCATAATCTCAACTACGCCAGGCCACGTCCGACGAAGCCACGACCGTTCTGCCCGGACCCAAAGGCGTCACGCTCGTTAATCTCTTGCCTTTCTCTGCTCTCAGCTCGGTGCTGCACTGTCGTGCTTTGGGCTTAGATTTTCTCCCGCCACCCGCTGCATCCAATCGTCAAGCTGAAGGCGCATCAAACCCTTCCTCTCTTTGCTCGCTGCATCACCGAAAAAAGGTGCCTGTGTACCGGATGGGTCTGTGGTCTGTCGCCATCTCCCGATCTGCAGCCCAGTCCTAATTTTCGGCCTCTGAGACGCAACACCCCTAGGCCAACGCAGCCCACACCTCTCTTTGCACACCTTAGCACAACCTCCAGTGCTCCCGAAGGACGAAGGCCGAGATAGGGAAAGAAAGAAAAACTACAATCACAAAAGGAGGAACAATAGCACACGACCATCAGAAGGAGGAAGAAGGGCTAGGCAGGTGTCGAGTCCGGCTCTGTAGGGGAACAAGGACGGGAACCCGAAAGCCACAAAAGGGAGGCGTCGTGCTCTCGCGCGTCAAAAAAGTGTGTGGTACAAGGCTACCTCGCGCAGAGCCAATCTTCCGAGAGTGCTGATCGCGAGAGTGAGCACAGCTCCTTCAGAGGCACTGCTGCAGCACCGCAGTCTCGAAACTTGGCCGCCAGCCCACTAACCCCCATTTGGGTCTCCTACCATGGCACCCATGACGCCCCGACTCAAGATTCTATCAGGTAGGTCCTTCCAATTCGTTGTACCTGTACTCTTCAAGCGCTCTGGCGGTGTTGTCTGCGTCTATATTTCTCTCCTGTGTCAAGTGCGACAACTACATTCTTCGGAGCGTTGGGACTTCTCTTTAAACCCCGTCCCTCGTCTTACAATCCATTTTCACTCCTCGTCGCCGTCTCCCCCCACGCTCGTTTTACCCTTCTCGCACTTGGGGATTGCTGCACATGCATCCTCAATTGACAAGTCGACATGGCTGACAGTGAGCTAATGAATGTGTGTTCAGTTGGTGGAAACCCGGTTTCCGCCTTTCTGTCATGGCGGCTTCAGGCTACGAACGCATGCGACGTCACCCTCGTTTGGAAGTCCGGCTACGAGCATGTCGCTCAGTATGGCATCTCGTTCAAGTAAGCAGCAAGTCGCCCGAATGGACCACTCGGAATTCTGACTCCTGTATTCTAGGTCCCAAGAATTTGGCAATGAGCGATTCAAGCCACGGCACGGTAAGTCTCGGTCTTCCCAATCGCTGCTGGGTTCTCGCTAGAGGAACAATCACTGACTTTCGTTCTCACCACAGTGGTCAAGACACCAGAAGAAGCGGCCAGCCGTAAAGAGGGTGCATTTGACTATGTAATTCTCTGCATCAAGGCCCTGCCCGATGTATACGACCTTGCCTCTGTCATCGATTCAGTCGTTACACCTCAGCACACATGTATCCTCATCAATACCACCCACACGTTGGGAGTGGAGTCTGCGATAGAAGAACGGTTTCCGACCAACGTGGTTTTGTCGCTCGTTTCCGGCGCAGAACTATCTCAGCTAGGACAGAGCGAATTCGAACACAAGGGCTCGACAGAGCTCTGGGTCGGTCCCGCCAACAAGAACGCGAACATTCCCGCATCGATACAGGACGACATGGCGCAGGCCCTGGCGATGACCTTAGGCACGGGTCAAGTAGATTGCAAAGTATCGCCCAACATTCGACAACACCAATACGAACGGGTTATTGGGTAAGCATGATCCGTTGCCTTCACTCTCGTACTTGCTGACCATCTCTTAGCCCGATTGCTTTCCACCCTCTTAGCGTTATTTTTGAGACGCCAAACCTGGCGGAGCTGATGACCAAGGTTGGAGTATCCCAGCTTGTTTCTGATGTGATAGATGAATTGCTCGCATTGGCAGGAGCTCAAGGCTGTGACTTTCCCGCAGACTTCAAAAAGAAGACCATCGATGATATGGCGAAACAGTCGAATGCCGACAGTATCATGTGGCAAGACTACATCGCAAGGCGGCCCATGGAAGTTGAGACGTATTTAGGCTCGCCCGTTCGATTGGCTCAGAATAATGGCATCAAGGTGCCTCGGATTGAGACTCTCTACGCAGTCCTGCACAATCTTAATACGATAAACCGCCAGCGACCAAAGGCTGATGCGGCAGCGACACCAGCTCCAACGATACCAGGCTCGCCATCAGTTCCCTCGCCTCTTCCCCGGATGTCCCAGTCGACTCCACGTTCCATGTCGAACGGCGTACCAAATGGAATGCCAAACGGCAATGGCATGCCGCGACCGCGACCAAGGGGATCATCACAGTTGGGCCCGCCACCAGGCATGAGACGACCACCTCCGTCGATGAACGGTGGCCCGAATGGCTACGGACGGCCGCCAATGAACGGAATGGGGAACGGCTTCCCCCCTCGCCAGGCCTCAGCTTCCAGGCGGGGTTCCATGGATGGAGCGGATCTGGAAGAATTCAGCCATTTGGTGGTATACGACGACATTCCTGAGGGCGGACAAGGTGATGACTTGACACTGCGAGAGCGCGAACTCGCACTACGGCAACGTGAGATGGCTCTTAGGGAGCAGGAGATGCGGATGCGTCGTGGTCCTCCTCCCCCCGGCCCTAGACGCGGTCCTCCCGTCTCAATGCGTAATGGTGGTGGTAATGGCGGTGGTATTGGTGTGTATGACGAAGACGACGAGGACGACGATTACTTCGATCCCGCGGCTGCACCATCAGGGCCTCCGATTGATCCCGATAATTTCGACATGATGAGTGTCACGTCCAGAAAGAACCGCAAGGTTCCCTCACATGCACAGATTCGCAAGAATCCGGAGTTTGATGCCAACCCTCAAAGGAACAGTCGGTTCCGGCCAAACTTTGGTAGAAATCGGTCGAGCCAGATCGCAAACCAAGTACCCGGTCTTCATGACAACATTATGGACGACCCATTGATGGGATTCACTTCAAACAGATATGGGAATGTGGACCGAGGAGCAATGCACCAGGAGTCTCGAACGAATTCACTGACTGCCGCACGTCTAGATGAACTTCAATACGCTCCTGGAGGGGGACCACCTATGGGCATGAACGGCATGAATGGCATGGGTATGAACGGAGGGTTCCCTCGGAGATCTAGCCAGTCGCCGGGAAACCCGTATAGTCCTTCGATTCGAGGAGGCAGCGGCCGACCGTCGCCACCGAATGGTTATGGCGGGCCTGGGATGAACGGAAGTCGACGGCCATCACCTCCTGATGGCGTCCGGCAGCCCGTTCCTCGATATCCGCCAGGCCAGGGCAATGCCGTTGCGCCGCAGCAAGTCGAACAACACGTCGGGGTGAGCAACCTTCAACCACCAAACGCGAAGAATGTTCGAAGTCTGACTGGTAGTGCGAGCGCCAGCGCGGGCAGTGGTGATTCGACTCATCTTGAATCAGAGCCCTCTGCCCACAGCAGCCAGAGCAGTCTGGGTCCTCGCCCTCCGATTGGAGTGCGTTAGAGGCGCCTACCCGGCCGAGACACTCCTGTTCTAAGCCGAGACTGACTGACTCTGCATACTGACAGAGTTTCACAACCGGCGGATGCGAGTGAAAGACACAGCAATCTGATTCACCTACTCCGTACACGACTACGCATTTTACAACCTCGTCTCGCCGACTTCTTTATACCCGTCTCGAGACAACACATGCCTTGGGACTGGACACCGTCTCATAAGAGGTTGTCTACTACACCTGCATGCACTCTTCACTGATCAGGACGCTACGACATATACATACGGCTAGAGGGTTTTCTTGGGTTATTCTTCGGACTCGCGTACACAAACACATAATTTTAGTGGCTTCTCCAATGGATAGCCGAGTACATAGGCATTTGGCGCGACGAACATCATCACATCATACATTTATTTCTGGTAATACGCATTGCGCTTCCGGACTCGGCTTTCTCTTTTGTTGCTTCACCATAGCATATAATTGGAGCCACGTCTCGAGGATCGTGTCGGTATCGAAAAGCAGAATCGTTCGGTCTCTTGGCCTTGATGCCCGTTCACCCGCACCTGTCATAATAGCACGATACTTCTGAGCGTTACTCCTTGGTTGTTGTGCGGGAGTCCTAGGCAAGGGTCAGGGGCTATTGCTTGCATCTAAGAGCCACCTGCTCGGGTGGAGCTCTTGGTGCCGGATTTGAGAGTCAAGCTGTGTATAAACCTTGGGCAGAGATCCGTTTTGGGTTGTTTTGTCTTTTACTTTCCTTTGTATCGACTTGTTTCTCATGAAGGCTACCGCAACGGCCCCAATGACTTATTTACGGACGGTAGGAGCAGCGGAGGGGGACGGTGCCCAAAGTAAAGATGGAAATTAGACTCGGGACGGGTCACCGAGACGCTTTGGGAAGAGAGGCACGGTGGAGTACACAGCACGCAAGAGCATGGAGAGGCAAGAGAATGTTTGATTGAATATTAATGGCATTGAAACTGGAACCGAAAGCAGTGATTGGGGAAGCCCGTCGTATACAAGGAGAGAGACCTCCCTGGGACCGAGCCTTGTCTTCGTGGACCGACGTGAACCTTCCGCCTGTTGCCCCTTTTTCGGTTGGACCTGAGAGGGGTGAAAGGAGATGCTACCTAATGTCTAACGTCCGATGCACATCAAAGGGCCCCCCCCCAGGGTTCAGAGGAAAGATGGTGATGGCTGGCGGCTGCTGATACTGCTGCCCGTGGGTAGCGAGCGGCTTGCCGAGGATCAGGGAAGTTAGGTGGAAGACGATAATCAGTCCCAATCAATTATTTTCAAAGCTTGCTGGGTAATTACTACTACTCCATGCTGTGGATGCCTGTGACTATTGCCATGCTCTCAACTGTGGAAGAGATTTGATGTCATGTGAGAAGGCCGATGCATGCACCCAACAATTGGTAATAGACCCACGGCATCTACGCAAGGAACTTCGGTGATCTACATTCAGAAGACAATTACGCCCGAACGTCTTCCTAATCGGCCATTTATGTGAAACATCTGGGTGTTCGTGTCGAGGCCTACCCGGTGTAGCACAGCAGTTTACGGCTCCGCCCATGCCACGACTTCCACGACGATCTCTCCGAAGATAAGGAGCCCAAGAGTAGTACACACAGAGAGAGACAGAAAGAAGAGAAGCCCACGAACCGCTCGATGTACTACGACATGCCGTGACGGCCCGGGCTGTGCAATCAACTAGAACAGGGACATGCTGGCTGTCTTTTTTTGTTTTACAAGTTCGAAATCGCCCCTTCGGTAATTTCGTTGGCGCAGCTGGTGTTACGTCGTCGGTCTGATCTCTGCGAGAGATAAGCCTCTAGCGCGCAAGCCACGGACACGATCGAGTTTCGTCTGATGCAGGCTCACCTGGACTGGTGCGCCTCGTCCAGTGTAGCATGTGAGTGAACATCTGTGCGCGGATGGATGTCTGTGTTGTCGCTGTAGGTAGGGGGGGCACTGGGGGGTTCGCACTGGGGCACGGGCCAGTACCGATGGATGCAATGCGCCTACCGGCATCTTAAGCTTAACATGCGCGCGGGTGGATTGTCTCTTCCGGAACACCGAACAAACGAAACCCTGCGTCTTGATGTCGATTGCGTCTGTCGAATTCTCGTTCCAGGGCATTGAGTAACATAGCAGCGATTTTGCCACGCAGAGACGAACCGGACTCGGCATCCCGTCTAGATACGCCAGGCTTTAGTTGCTGGGGAATCTTTGTAGAGGGGCAACAAGTGAGGGGTCAGAGTTGTTGTACAGCGAAACAAACAACACGCGACGACGCGTTGATCGGTATTCCGCCACCGACGACCATCAAACTCTCCATAGCGGGGGAGCCGACAGTATCTGTTTACTGTTTGTGTGTCAATTTACTGGTTTTGTGTTCAACCGAGGCAATAATAGGCTTGTCAGAGGAGTGACGATGGCTACGCGAAACATGAGCACGAACACAAACACCGGTGGTGCAGCCCCGCGGTCGTCGATGGCTAGTTCGTCTGGCAGTGCAGTCAAGGCGAGGCAGCTGGTAAGTTTGTCGAATACCGTTGATTTCATAGTCTGCTTTCTTGAATGTTCTATTTCTATGAAGAGTCCTTGCAAGTTTGAGGTCTCTCCTTCGATTATGCTCCACGCTATCAAACGGAGCGAGCTCCAGCAGCCGCCGCATGCTTCAGTATCTTATCCCCCTTCAACCACTTCTAGGTCATCCTTTTTCGTGCAAATACTCAAGCTTAGAATGACCATTTCCTAGACACATCTCCATTCACAGCTAGCTCAGCTCTCAGCCAATCTGGCCGACACGGAGAATCTCCTCCGTATGACCAGCGTCCAGGCGGAATGCATGCGCGGCTTGGGTAGCTGGCATGGCGGAATGTAAGAAGGCCGTCTTATTGACGTTCATGCTCGGGTCTCACTAACGCTTCCTCCTCAGGTTCATGGCCGCCAGTAAAGTATTAGGTGAAGAGTCTGTCAAAGAGCAGACGTCCCAGAACCAGTCGCAGCAGTCGAAGTGAACCGTTGGGGCGCAGTGCACACGATAACGGGATGGCTACGGCATCGCAGGTCAGCATCCAGGCGGTCATCTAGATGCTGCTTATTTTGCCGCAGACGCTTAGCTCCTGCAGGCTCCGTATGGACCGGGCTGGAAGTGGAGGTTATGCCACATTGTGATAGCAGACAATCGGCCCTCGCCTCGTCCACGGAAAGTGATGGCGCCGATGGAACGTTTGCGGGCGCGAGAATCAGTTGGTAGAGTGGCCGTTTTGATATTTTATGATACCAATAGTAACGATTGCATCAAGTCATTGGCTCCGACATAGCGGCATGCTTTGTGGCCTCAATACGTGTTGTCCTCCGTTTCTGCCTCGGCGCTTGCACCGGAACTCGTTTCTCTCGGCCGCATGTGTTGCATTTCATGACCAGGACATCTGCCCAAGGCTTCCTCCCATTTTTGCTCTTGTTCTCTACAATGCTGGAGCATGTCTTTCCTTCAACAAGAATCGTGTTGCAGAACTTGCAGATGGTCCGCTTCATGTCAGGGCTCATACGCATCATCGTTTTGAGGGTGACCTCGCGCAGGTCAGTGACCAGTCGCCGGGATACACCTTGGACCTCGACAGCATCTCTTCTTTGTCCGCCAGATGCCTGTTCAGAAGACGCAGGAATTATAACTGGTGGCTCGTCCGCTCTACGAGGGGCGGGAGCCTCTTGTTGCGCTGTTGCCAGGTAGGTTGCAGCTTGGTAGAGAAAAGAAGCCCGAGAATAAAGCGGCCGGTTTTGGACAGCTCCAGGCTTAGACTTTGCCATACTGGCTAAAGTCTAGCTAATAGAGAACTGGTGGCTGTAGATTGCCTTTCTTCGAGATCTCCTTCGGAAGCAGAAGTAATTGGAAGTAGCTGGCGGTCTCTGGTCATGTCTTTGTTCTCCTGCTTGAGTGACTGATGCATGCATGCTACCTAAATGTGATTTCAAAGAGCACGGTAAGCCAGCCAGCCTTCCCCCACAATTGGCCAGTGCGCGACAGCCTCGCAGCTGCCCCTTGTTGTGGCCTGGCGCTAGTCTACATCCGGCTAGCATCGTGAGGCAACCTTTTCTGAGGCGGTGCTTCCAGCAACTTCATCGCCCTTTCTTCCTCCCACCTCACCCCCGAAATTTCCTCCTCCTCCCGCAATTGCGACCGTCTTTTATCACCCACCACGACGTTTCGGAGTCATCAGACAGCTTCTTTATCTCAAGGAGGCTTCTTCCAACGTGTTTTGACTGTTTTCCTCAGATCATCCACGACTTCTATATCCCGCGCGGCTCCCGCCTTTTGTTTACGTCTCTCCACACTCCTACGTCACTTCTAACCGGACCACTTTACGACACCTTTCCCTCGCCCAACCAAGCAATCGCCATCATGTCTGCTGAAGAGGATCTCATCGACTACTCCGACGAGGAGCTCGGCACCAACAACGATGCCGCTCCCGCTGCCAACGGCAAGAAGGCTGACGCGGCTGCGGCCGGCGACAGCGTTGACAAGAAGGGTTCCTACGTCGGCATTCACTCCACTGGTTTCCGCGACTTCCTGCTGAAGCCCGAACTCATTCGTGCTATCACCGACTGCGGTTTCGAGCATCCATCGGAGGGTCAGTCATGAACTTTTAATCATTCCAGCCCAGCGTTACCCCTCCATCGTCCTCAAGAAAGGGTCCGTCCATCTCGCAAGCAAGCAAGCAAGCAAATGAAGCAGTCAAGCAAGCCATCAAATCCATTGGTGTACGGAGTTGAGTGGTATCATCACAATCATCTAGGGCCTGCCTCGCTCCATAGATGAGTAGAGCAGCCGTCCTGGACTGAGAATAATATACGCGGAAGCGGTATTCTCGGCGGAGAATGGGATGATTGTATTATGGGGTTGCACCCCGAGGAGCGACTATTCGGAGAGTGCCGAATGCGCCTATGGCGAGCGCACCACTCCAGTCACTACAAGCCGTCGAAAGTTGCCTACGGGCACGGTCTTCTGGCAGACGTTGCTCACCGTCACGGAGAATGTTGCATGATGAATATTTGAAAGGGTATCATCTATCAACAATTTTGGATTACCACGCCGGTGGTTATATCACTGCTGTGGGCGTATACGCCCCTTACGGTCTCATGCTTTGCTGCGATGATGGACGGACCTCGTCGAAACTTTGCGTCCGTTTAAACCTTGCGAGACATCTATCTAACATCCGATCGCCCAACAGTTCAGCAAACCTGTATCCCTCAGGCCCTTCTCGGTGGTGACATCATCTGTCAGGCGAAGTCTGGTCTCGGTAAGACTGCTGTGTTCGTTCTCACGACCCTTCAGCAAGTCGAGCCCATCGCTGGCGAGTGCTCGGTCCTGGTCATGTGCCACACTCGTGAGCTGGCTTTCCAGATCCGCAATGAGTACAACCGTTTCTCCAAGTACATGCCCGACATCAAGACTGGAGTCTTCTATGGTGGTACCCCTATCCAGAAGGACGCCGAGATCCTCAAGAACAAGGATACTCATCCTCACATCATTGTTGGAACTCCCGGTCGTCTTAACGCCCTTGTCCGTGACAAGTACCTGCGCCTCGGCAGCGTTCGAATCTTCGTTCTCGATGAGTGCGACAAGATGCTTGACCAGATCGGTAAGCGACCCACGTTACCAAGACCTCTGATTTCATATTAACGACAAAAGATATGCGACGCGACGTCCAGGAGATCTTCCGTGCGACTCCGCAGCAGAAGCAGGTCATGATGTTCAGTGCCACACTGTCTGATGAGATCAAGCCCATCTGCCGCAAGTTCATGCAGAACCCAACTGAGCACTACGTCGACGAAGACACCAAGTTGACTCTGCACGGTCTCCAGCAGTACTACATCAACCTCGAGGAGCGCGAGAAGAACCGTAAATTGAACGAGCTTCTCGACGAGCTTCAATTCAACCAGGTCATCATCTTCGTCAAGAGCACTATTCGTGCTACCGAGCTTGACAAGCTTCTCCGCGAGTGCAACTTCCCCTCGATTGCGGTCCATTCTGGCGTCAGCCAGGAGGAACGGTAAGTTCATTTGCCAAGTATGTGTGCAACATCGAATCTAACAAATCGTCAGTATTCGCCGATACAAGGAGTTCAAGGAGTTCAACAAGCGAATCTGCGTCGCTACCGACGTCTTCGGACGTGGTATTGATATTGAGCGCATCAACCTGGCTATCAACTATGACCTGCCTGCTGATGCCGACTCCTATCTTCACCGTGTCGGTCGTGCCGGTCGTTTCGGTACTAAGGGTCTTGCCATCTCCTTTGTCAGCACCGATCAGGACAAGGAGGTGCTCAAGGCTATTGAGAAGCGTTTCGAAGTCGCTCTTCCGTACGTCTTCACTCTTGCTGTTGCAATAATTAGTACTAACTCTGTGATAGGGAGTTTCCCCAGGAAGGCATTGACTCAAGCACTTACATGCAGGTTCAGTAGTTTGATCCTCCTGTCTTGTAAAGTCATGCCACAGTCAGGGCTGCGCATACTATGCGATGTGCCTTACATTTTCAGTCACTTCTCGGTTGCTCATGATCTGGAGTGAAGGGGGATTTTGGGCAGAAAGGAATGGAAAAGCCGAAATGACGAAAAAAAAGCTCTGGGTTTTGTTACTGGAATCTCTGTAGGACTATTACGACGTTGAGGGCTACTTTGACTTTTATCTTTTGCACATGGCAGGATGAGAGCTGCTCGTTGGCAGGGCTTTTTACTTGCTATTACCACACCTGATACTGCAACTGAAGAGTTGAGCCTACAGACGTATTGGACGGCACAAGTATGCAGATGTCTTTAGTTATGATGGAGAATAGAAGTCAAAGATTGCTCTTTTGCCCGGCCTTGGCAGTCGAAATATGTGTTGTTGGAAAAAAATAAGACATGTAACAGTACCCCCTAAGCAAATCAACTCGCCAACTACGACGGTTCCCTGGTCAAAAACAGCATGATCCGTCTTGTCCGGACAAGTCGGTCATCGCAATAGACATACCGCTTTCATGTCAGAAGCGGAGGTGATTGCTGCCTATCGTCGATGATGCCAAGAGCAGCGAACGGATCACAGACGGGAATCAGGGAGGTCACAGCCACAATGGCGTACGAAGCTCGCATCTTTCCGGGACTACTCCTCACTTTAGTCGAACATGATAGTCACGACTCGCAGGGTAACGAGTGTTAGATCGATATGGGCATCATTACTTCTTCGACAAGGAAGTACTACTTCATGGAAGCTGATAGACCTATAGCAACAGACAGAATCTCCGGGACTTTGATGTGTATCACGATGCTCAACATTTAGTATCTTCACCCTTGAGAGACATTAACGTCGAGTACCCTAGTAGAGGAGAAGACTTCTCTCCTCACCTCGTGACGTGTGTTTGGAAACACACTCCGGGCTGCTTAGCAAGTGCTTCCTCTGGTGGAGTCCAGGTCAGGCAAATCGTGTGCTCGACTCGACTTGCGCTATTCAGCCTGACAGCCGCATCGCGCCTTGCCTCCTTTGTGGAAGGCGCTTCAGCTTCTGGATAACCAACACGCTTATCATCATGCTAACGATCTAAAAAAAACTTACCTTACCCGTTCGCTTGCTGTCTCTCCTCCCAGCTAGACGGCCCCGCCGACGGTGACGAGGGTATCCATCTACCTGCCTGGAGGTTGGGTCCTAGGAAGCGAGGGTTGGCTGTGGAGGCAACGATGAGCACCTAGGGGCATGCGTGAAGGAGAAGGAGAAGGAGAAGGAGGAGGGGCGCTGCCGGCGGTGAGCAAGTGTCACTCCTAGTTCACATTCACGAGCCGAAAGCGACTGAGTCTCCTTGATCCTTCTTCTCTACCTGTCCCAGTTCCAGGTAACAATAGGAAGGACCCACTGCTTCGGCCTATCTCTGGTATCAATCTCGCCTTGCGAGCGAACTAGCCGTCTCAGTTGTGACTTGGAAAATGCGGCGAAGTCTATCTGTAATCCAGGCTGGCTGGGCTACCCCAGGGGAGCTGGCTCCTAGAATCTCGCGTGTTCATGTTGGTGCTTGGAGTCAACGATGACGAGATGATGTCTGCCTTCGCTGACGAGAGGGCCCTTGGCCCACTTACACGACCGTAACGGCCAAAAGCACCAGAGACCAGCGTGGCGCTTTCCCGCGTATCCATGTCTCCCACGCGAGATGGCAAGGCGGCAAACATCCACTTGATGTCAGCTGGCTGAAGAGTCTTTGATTCTCTGACAAGAGAGCGCCCTCGGTGATGACGAAACACGAGTTCTCTAAACATGGCGGCTTACAGCGGTTCATGCAGGATGCGGGACTACGGCAACCGTCGACATCTCCTTGAAACCGCGGATGGACTCGTGAGAGTGGCACGGCGAGCAACTCACAAGATCTGACCCGAGCGGGGAGAGACAGACGGCAAAGCTAGCTAGCTAAATAACTAGTTGGTCAGACTTTCGTCTCTGACACTTGGCTTGGTGGTTGAGCGGCGTATACGAGTGAATGGTCTTTACAAATCGAAAGAACCGGAGTGGCCCAGGCGGCGGATGGGAGTCACCTGAGCATGAGCATGATCTATCCAATTTTCGTTACTTCTTATTAGTATTGATTCATGACCTTCCCGCTGGGATTTCCTGTTACGGGCGGCGGCGCGAGAGGCGGTTATTACTGAGTGTTTCTGTGGTTGTAAGTTGTTGTCGTGGTGAGACAATACCCTGGCGATGCTGGAGATCCGGCGGCGTTGGCTGCTGCCTACATTAACCAGCCGGCCAACCGGCCAAGCCCACACCATCTTTGCCTCCGCCCATGCTCCATGGGATTTAGCACCATGGATGGATGCATGGGCGCCGTGGGAACGAAGGGTGTAATCATCCTTCCCAGATCAATGACTTTAGCTCACCCCAGTTGGAATTTCTGGAAGGTCGAGTTTGGGTCGCCGAACGGTTGCCTGGTGGCTCTCGAGCCGAGCATGGACTTGTTGATTCCATCCTGATGTTGTTACAGTCTCTACCTGGACAATGGGAGTCAAAGCCTTGGCCGACTTTCACGGCCGCCTACGGGACGCATCACAACAAGGTCTATGAAAAGGTCTCAGGATGTTTTGCCCGAAAGGCCGCTTTGAGCCAAGCCTCGAAGCCTACGAGACCGTAGTATCAAAGTCTCTCCGATAACTGGAGGTCTTCTCCGCGTGACTCAGCCGTACATACATACAATTAACAGGGACTCGAGCGAGGTTCCTTGCCAGCTGGCGCCGCCACCTGTGAAAAGTGCAGAAATGACTGGCCCGGGAGCTGCCTCAGTTGGCAGGCAGCACGGCAGGGCACCACGTTGGGGGCTGGACTTTTGGGCCACTGGAGCTTGCCTTTCTGCCACTTTCGTGCTGCTCGATCTTGCTAAGATGTGCGGCTGTTGAATGCGGTGAGGCGGGCGAGCTCCAACACGAAGTCGATCACCGAAGATCTCGTTCATATCTTGTTGAATACAGTCACACTTCCTTGAGTACATGGTAGAGGGACTCGGAATCTCCCCGAAGCTCGGCCGCCCAGGTCGCCCAGGTCTCGAGCTGTGGCTCATCGCCTTGCTTTGCCGTCAGGCCGTGTTGTGCAATTCAGGTCAAGTCTGGGGAGTCTCCGAAATGGACAGCTCAGTTGCAATGTTACGCAAGCAGAAATAGAGGCAGCCAGTCGGCGTGCGGTCCTGACACAGCTGTCCAAGCCCAAAAGGGGCCAGAGTGTCGGCATCGCCACGGCCGACTGGATCTCTACAGTCCAGATCGGCCCCCCGCCCTCCATGCCGAGAGGAGGGTTGGGCGGCGCTGCACTTGTTCACTTACTCATGCTGACAACGAGGCAATAGGACGGCCCTATTGGCCTGGCAATCATCTAGTCGCGAGTTTGACTAGAAGCTTTGGATGATTCTAAGCGCAAAGCATTCTGCGAATTACGGAAGCTGGAGGCATGTTGCGCCGGAACCATAGGGTATTAGGTGTGTAGTGTCTATGTCGATCGTCCAGGAATCTCAGATGCGTGTTACTCTTCTTGGGGGTCTTTAACAGCATTCGCTCAATGCCTGGCCAGAATTCAGGCAGCAAAAGATTATGCACACCCTGATTGATTTATGCGAGATTGCTGAAATTTCAGGGAGATCACCCATCTCGGGATAAAACGGTCATAATTTAGCACTGGCCCCCCAATTCCACCACAAGCGCCTGTGACTCAGCCGGCTTGCTGGCGTGATTTGCAGGCTTTGTTGGATGCTCAACACCCATCTCAAAGCCTGTGCAATCTGGAACCGCGCGGCAAATCGAAGTGACTGTTCACAGGTGCCCGTTTTCGGCCACATCATGGCCCCATTCCTACGTCCATCTTTATGGCGAAATCTCCCTCTGTCCGCGTGGAAGCATGGTTGTTGGTTTTGATTGACTCTTAGATAGTCCCCCTTTTGCTTGCACCTTTCACACCCCGGGAGGTTTTTAGCCTGGTAGGCCCCTATTTTGGAGCTGACTAGAAATGTCTCAGCCGCCTTGATTGCGGTCATTTGGACAGCTGAAGACAACGCTCCGAAGTCGCGGCCTCGCGAATTGTAACACCTGCTCACTCCAATTTGCCTTGTCGGTGGACGGTCGGCGCCACACCTGTGATGGCGGATTGGGATGTAGTTGACTCATCGTGAGACGCAACCAACTTGGATGGTGAGAAGGCGTATATGCGGTATCCCATTGGCCAGCTCGGCTGTAGATGAAGGCCAGAGACAGAGGGCCGTATGAGACGATCGTTTCGAGCTGGAGGTTGTATCCCTGCTCTTCATCTTACCATGGCGGGATGTTGTTTAGTCGCCCGCTGCTGCTGTAAGATCAGAAGGGCCGCTGCTACCACCTGATGGGTGGTGAGAATGATGGCCCGCTTGTATTGGGCACAGAACGCTGAGCATGTTGGTCGATGATTGACATCGCATGCTTGCCCAGAAGCCTCGAACTTACATTACAAGCCAACAGAGCTTTGCCATAGCCTGCCGTTGCTGTCTGCCTCGTGTCGAAGCGGTTGCAACCCATCATGCCTACATTCACTTGGAATGACTTCATCATCTTCGACGTTCGCCCAGAAGGGTGGTAACCTGCATCGCGGAGGGCGGGGACGGGCCTAGCTCCATAACTCTGCCTGGCTATGCCTTCGGGCTTTGATAGAGTAGATGGTCACTTCACCCGTCCCATCCATCCCCAGTTCATCCACGTTGTCTGTTTGGCACGCCAGAGTGCATCTGCGGCCTTGCAAGTGGTAATCAACCCGCCTTTTTTCTCACGTCCTGCACGAGGGATACTGATACCAGCTGGCCAAGCCCGTCGAAACCAATCAGCACGCCCGCTAACGTGGAGCGGGGAAGGCTGTGATACCGCCAAAAAGACATGTGGGACAGGGTACAGGGGTTGCATCTCCCACGAGAGTGTAGTCGAATAGTGATTTCGGACAG